ATATATATATATATATATATATATATATATATATGTTGTATATAAAATAATATATATAATATATTGTGTGGTTTGAACTACGGTTTGAAAATTCAAAACTACAAACTGCATTGATATTAATGTTTGGTAGAAATGCAAACAGTACTACGAAAGTTTTTACTCACGTTTTACGATACAATAATGAAATGAAAATCCATAATAGAAAACTATAAGGATGGTGCTTGATTGGTTTGAACTTGGCTTCAAATTTTAAAAGTACCAGGAAGTCTCAAGTTCAAATTCAATAAGGAATAAAAATCTCCTTGTGGTCACGGAGATTTAAATGCGATGACTCCAGACTATCTGCAAAACAGATGGTTGGCTTGAGATTAGTCGACTCGCATAGCAGTTGGATATTCAGGTTAATAAAAAATAAAACATAAAATCCATAATAGAATAAGTAAATGACTTCACTAATTTGTTGACCCCTAAAGTCAAAGGCCGGCGCCGACCCCACCACCCCTTCTCCACTCTTTTCGCTACCGTGAGTCAAACTACTGAAATTCCGGTCCAAACACTTGAACCGGGTTGTTTATCCGACAAAATCTCAAAGGGAAATATATTAAGTTGATACGGAATGATTTAAGAGGTATTTATGATATAATATAAAATAAAATATAATTTTTTTATAATTGTTTATAATGAAATTAGGGCGTTGAATGGTTAAGGGAGATCAATGATAGAGACATTTTTTTTGTCAAACAAGATTCACCTCTTAATAATTCAGAGGTTGTATCTTAATGGAACTATTAAGAGGTAAACAAACAACCCCAAAATCACTCATAGGGTTTTAAAACCATTAAGAGACAAACTTTTTTTTGTCAAACAAGATTCACCTCTTAAATATTCAAATGTTGCTTCTTAATGAAACTATTGAGAAATTAACAAACAACCCCTAAGTCTTGATGTTGATGTATATAAAAAAAACCTTACAGATAAGGATACACTTAACAATATATAGGGTGCATTTAGCTCGTCCAATCTTAAATCCAATTAAAAAATGGTGAGCAAAATGCATCCGTACTTGCTAATTTTCTTATTACACGCATCAACATTAATACATACTTTTTACATTTTCAATATATGATTTAATCTGATTCTGATATAAATAGAGGTGTGTATAGCATTACCCTTAAAAATTTAATGGTATAGTTATCCTCTGGTCTTTCAAAAATTTATCAAAAATATAAATCTAAGAGGTCGTTTACCCAAATGATTACCGGTGAGATTCAATACGGCGTTGTATGGAACAATTTATTCGGTAAGCACTAATCGAGTAAGAGTCGTCACCCTCCACTTCAACAAAATTGGTTTTATATAACGTCTAAAATGTCTGAGCGTCCTAATAAAATACTTTATATGACTTAAGTTTATAGGACCAAATCAAAAAGTGTCATATCTAAAAGTGTTACATAGGTTTATAGGATACTTTTAGACGTTTTAACAAATTTTTAGGACGGTTTTAAAATAAAGTGTGGTATTGCAATTTTATACGGCACTATTTGATGAAATGTCTTACAAAAGATAGGTTTTGATTAGACATTTTCAAGAGTAATCTGTAAAATAGCTAATATGACACATTATTTTAAGAATGTTCTAAAAAATCTGTTAAACACCTAAAAGCGTTTTATAAACCTATTGTAATGTTTTTCGTCTATAGGACACTTCCCAAAAGTGTCATAAAAATATCTACTACGACATTTTATTTTAAGAGTGTCCTAAAGAACTTGTTAAAATACTTAAAAACATTCTATAAATCTATTGTAACGCTTGTAGATAGGACATTTTCTAGTTTGATGTTATAAACTTAAGTTCTATAAAGTATTTTAGTAGGGCGCCTAAACATTTTAGGAATCCAATTTGTGGTGATTGATTATCTGATAAGACTCTCGGTTTTTGTCGTTGATCCTACTGGTAAGATTTTCTATCCTTGCCATATTTATCTGATAAGGTAAAGTTACACAATAAACGTTTACCTGGTAAGTATTTGATAAACGGACCCCAAATATCACATTATATATTTGTAAAAGAAACTAAGGGTCCGTTTGACAGACACTTACCCGGTAAACACCAACTGGTAAAATTTCACACTGTCACTTACTTACCCAATAAGATTTTAGTCAACAAAAATGGTACCATATGCAACAATTTATCCAGTAAGGACCAACCCTGGTAAGAGTCGTCGCCCTCACTTACTGGGTAAGACTCTTGGGACTTGTCTTGCTCTTACCGGGTAGGATTCTTAATCCTTGTCATACTCATCCGATAAAGTAATGTGACTTGGTAAGCGTTTATCCGGGTAAGCATCGGGCAAATTGGCCCTTAAGTATATTTAAAAAATATATAACTTTACTAACGATTAAATATCATTTAACTTTTATTTTTATGTAAAATATAAACATACAATCAACATATACAAAATTACAAGAAAAACCCCTCTTTTTCGGTTATTCATCTGAATAAAAAACGTCCTGAAAGTTAAACTGAAGAGAAAACGATGACGGTTTTGGATCAGCGTCTTTGGAAATTCAACGCCTTGATGCCGTATACGAAGACGGCAAAGAACAGTAGAACCCAACCAACATGAGCAAGGGCTACGTATGGGAGGAAATCGTGTTCATATCCTAGGAATTCTTTAAGGTAAACCTTAACCTCGATGTTTCCGTGTTTAGGCACATGAACGAGGGTTGTTTTGTCGCCAACTTGAGACGTTATAAGCCCGTAGATCGTCCATGCAACGGGTGAACCCCAGTAGTACCATCTCCACCAAATCGGAATTTGCTGCAAAATTTGATCAAACGTTTAAAACGAAGGTCATCATAGATAAGTGTCATTCACACTACAACAAAACTGACTTTATATACCAAATGACCCTTGGCCTAGCGGTATGTGAGTCATTGGTCTCTTACGAGATCATGGGTTCAAATCTCACTAAAGGTGAGGAGGGTGTATGAGTTTATTTGTTTTATTTGCCGTATATAAATATTATATACTTAAAAAATTGACTTTACAGTACATCAAATATAAATCGAGTTGTAAAATCTTCAAAATGTAGGTATTAGGTTACTTTTATTTGAACCCAACCCAACCCGATGAACCCAATATCCTTTTATTTCTTATATTTAATATGATTGTTGAGTTTTTATTAATATGTACATCAAACAATTACACTATTACATATTATCTTCATAGACATATATTGTCAATTTATTATCCTTCTCTATATAATTTATTTGTATATATGTTCGGTAACTGTGAACATATATATATATATATATATATGAAAGTTGAGAAAATTAATTGAATGTGATATACTTATAATTTAAGAAGTATGAATAAGTTGTATCAAATATTTGACAAGGAAAAAGAAATTATAAGTAAAATAGAGAAAACAACATATTCAATGTTAGAGAATACTATGATATACCAAAGTATCAACTCGACTAACCCGTACAGTTTGGTTTGGGTTGGGTTGGGTTGGATTGAGATTTTTCAAACTGCAAGTATTTTGAGTTGATTTGTTCAAATATCTTCAACCCGATCAACTCAACCCATTAGGACATTTACCTAGAATGTGTAAGTGTCCTAATAGAATATTTTATAAACTTAAGTTTATAAGATCAAACTATAAAGCGTACTGTTTAAAAGTGTTACAATAAGTTTATAAGATGTTTTTAAATGTTTTAACAATTTTTTTGACATTTAAAAAATCCCGTAAGTTACTTTATAGGACACTTTTAAAAAGTGTCATATAACCCGTCTTTTTATATGACACGTGTTTAGAAGACATTTTTCCATATGGTGTCGTATAAAAAAAACTAATACGACAATTTAATTTAAAAGCGTTCTAAAAAGCTTGTTAAAATGCCTAAAATTGTCCTATAAACCTATTGTAACAGTTTTAGATGAAACGTTTTTTGGTTTGATCCTATAAACTCAGTCCTACAAAATATTTTATTAAGATGCTTAAATATTTTAGGCGTCTATAAAACCAGTTTTGTTGTAGTGAGTATTATAAAAAATTTGCTAAGACGCCAAAAAGCTTCCTATCAACTTATTATAACACATTTACGTCTGTTTGGTCCAACAAATTTAAGTCTTAAGTCTATTAAGACATTTAAACATATTGGAGTAATATAAAGCCGATTTCGTTGTACTGCTAACGGTTCAGTTTACTTACCTCTCTTGGGATGAGAAAGCCGGAAAACAAGTTCCAGAAGCTGAGGAAAAACGACATGACGATGGCCGCGATCTGGTAACTCGGGGTGAGAGCAACAAGCATCATCCCGTATAACGTGAAGTAAACGAAGCACATGAACACGTAATAATAGAACCATAAGAACTTGCCCAACTGCAACTCGAATCCGATCATCGAGTAAAGCAAAAGACTGTAAAGAAACGTTTGGATCCCGACGTATATGGTTTCCACTAGAACTTGAGCGAAAGCGTAAGGCAGAGCTGAATACATTCCGGCAGCTTTTTCTCGATAGAAAACCGTCCGTTCAATCGCTACAACCGATTGAACGGCAGACGTGTTTGTTCCTCCGAGGAACAAAACCGCAGCGTACATGGCTCCCATCAGATTTGACAAATCTTGTTGTTTGGTCCTGTGGTTAAAAACAGTAGTTTTTCTGTTAGGATATTTAAACATATTTGAGGTTTTATAAAGCCAATTTTGTTGTAATGTAAAATTTTGTCTCACATTTTGTTTCCTTTGTCCCAGAAGATGATCCCGAAGATAAGACCGATAACCGTCGTCATGAAGAATCGAACAACGTTGTACTGAGGGTTTCGCCAATACGACCAATGTTGTTTCCAGAAACACGCTTTGAACTGTTCGAATGACGGTTGCGAAAACCGCGTAGCAAAGTGAAGATCGTGCGAATCTGGTGGCGGTGTGCTCAACTCTTTGATAAGCTTTTCGTTTCTCCTATAAATCGATCGCCCGTCGAAAAGAACACCGTAAGTTAGAAGATTTAAACTTAGAAAACCAGAAATTTTGAAATTTCGCTGTAACAAAATTGGGATTATAAGACGCCAAAAATGTCTAAACATCCCAATAAACTGCTTTACAGGACTTAAGTTTATGAGACCAAACAATAAAACGTCTTATCTAATAATGTTGTAATAAGTTTATATGACGCTTTTAGAGTTCAAAAACTGCCGTTTTTGACATTTTTCGATTTCAATTTCGAATTGGTATTTTTTATTTGGAAAAGATACACTGATTCATAACATTTTTTTCGATTCTCTGTTCAAAAACACTGAATTTTATCGGATTGAAATTTCGATTGTACCATCGAAATACTTCAATCTGAAAGTGTTACACGACTTTCAGTGGAATCCAAGCAATCGAAAACCAGAATTTCTAACACTTAAACATTGTTGGCGTTCTATAAGTCCGATTTTGTTGGGGTGCTTACCGATAAAGGTCCGAATTCGCGAAAAGTTCTGCAAAATCGACTCCGATTTGAGCTTCGACTGCGGTAGAACTAACATCTAACATCCATGTTGCTGGATTGTAACCTTCTTTGATCTTGGAAACGCCATCAATAGTCTGCAAAAAAGTTTGAAAAATAAGATCGTAATCCAGTTTTAATGTCGGAATGAGCAAAAAAGATCGTTTCTTACTTCGAAATACTCGACGAGAAGGTGCGAAAAACGCCCGAGAGGTCCAGCATATATCACTTGCCCTCCTCTCTTCATCAAGAACAGCTGCAAAAAGATAAGATTTTTTTCGAGTTTTAAGCGAACCCGAATGGTTAAGAATCGTTAGATCAGTGGAAAATGAAACGGGTATGGATCAAACCTCATCGAAAGCTTCGAAAATGTCGATGCTCGGTTGGTGAATAGTGCAGACTACAGTTCGGCCGGTGTCCACCGTGTTCCTGACCGCTCTCATCACGATGGCGGCAGCTCTCGCGTCTAGACCGGAGGTTGGTTCGTCCATGAATATGATCGAAGGGTTTGCCACGAGCTCGACGGCTATCGTGAGTCGCTTTCGTTGTTCAGTCGATAAACCGTCGACTCCCGGAAGTCCCACTAGCGCATGTCTCAACGGACCTAACTCTACAAGTTCCATCACTTCCTCCACAAACATCTGAGTTTGCGAGCGAAAACCGATTAGAAAGTTCATAAACTTAATGTAACATGTTTCTACAACAAAATTGGTTTATAGTACGCCTAAAATGTTTAAGCGTCATAATAGAATACTTTATAGAACATAAGTTTATAGGACCAAACTATAAAGCGTCCTATTCAAAAGCGTTACAACAAGTTTATCGGACGATTTTAGGCGTTTTAACAAGTTTTTTAGAACGCTTTTAAAATAAGGCGTCCTATTAGCTATTTTTATCACAGTGTCCTATAAACCCATTTTTCTATAACACACTTCTTCAAATAATGTCGTATACATAAAATAGTTAATACGACACTTTATTTTAAAAACGTTCTAAAAACTTGTTAAAACGCCTAAAAACGTCCTATAAATCTATTGTAAGAACGTTTTTTTGGTTCAGTTCTATAAACTTAAATCCTATAAAGTACTTTTTTAGGACGTTTCTACATTTTAGACATCGTATAAAATCAATTTTGTTGTAGTGTTAAATATTTTAATATCTCATAAGCGACTTATTTTATGTAGTATTCATGATGAATAACCTTGAATAATAATGGATATTATTCATCATGAATATTTGTCATGACATTCATCGTGAATACGACACAAAATAGGTGTTTGTGGTTTCTCAAAATATTTAAGGTTCCTAAATAAGTCTGCTTTTTACGAGTAATCTAACATTTTTCTGGATACCTTTCGGGTTGCCTCATCGACATCTGAAGCCAATCGAAGCCACGCAGAATACAAGAGGGATTCGTAAATTGTGACGTGAGGAGAATGTATGTCGTTTTGTTCACAATAACCGCTAACACGAGCGAAAGTTTCTTGGTTCTTTTCGTAACCGGAAATACTAATATTTCCTTCAATATAGCCTCCGGTCTTTCGTCCGGCCAACACATCCATCAACGTCGTTTTTCCGGCACCGCTTACCCCGACTAACGCCGTTAGGATTCCTGGTCGGAATGCACCGCTCACATCTCGTAAAAGCTGCAGTCGGTTCTCCTCTACGCCTTGCCTTTTCATTTCCTGAGGGACGTAACACCACATCAGCCAGACAGAACAATTAGGCCAAGTCTGATAACCATAAGCTAGCTTATTGAAACATTACTTTAAAAACTTGACTTTCTACATAAAGCTCAACCTAGAAGCTTACTGAATAAGTCACTTTCTATATCATTAAGCCATTAACAATTGTATATAGTTGTCCGAATAAGTTGTGAGTCCTATTAAGCTCATTAAGCTGCTAACAAATAAGCGCTAATTATCTGGTAACAGCTGGCTAGTTTATCAGCTATCCGCTACGGGTTCTTACCGCAGGCATATCGACATAGTAGTTCACGTGATCGAACGCAAGAGACAACGGCTTGAAGGGCAACACCATTCCCTTTTTGCTTATTTCGTTTGGTTCAGATTCAGTCGACATAGATACGGACTTCTTCTTCTTCTTCTTGCCATCATTTTCGTCTACAACAGATTTCGAATCCACCATGGCTGCATTTCGAGATTCGAAACACAAAGACGATCAGATACATACGTGACATCTAGATTCAGAAAATCAAGAAATCATATCGGTTTTAGAAAAGTCGTCTTACGGGTTAGAAACGTAAGCGCTAACACGAAGCAGATATTGAAGACGAGAGAGAACCCGAAGAGTGCGAGAACGCAAATCCAGTACCAATGGCCTTCGGTAAACATTCCTCTAGCCTTCAGAAGTTCTTTTCCGACAGTCGATTCTCGATACAATGTGTCAAAATTTTCCTGCACACAATAACATTTGATTGAACCCGTTTAAGATACAAATCGAATCACAATGGCTACGTTCATCGGTCGCTATCTTGACTTACCGCGCCCCACCGTTTGTCGAGAAACTCAACAAGAACGATAGCGTTTTGTCCATACGACATCGGAGAGAGGTAATATGCCCATCTCATCCATGGATGAAGATCATCTAGCAAGAATAAAAAAAAAAAGTACAATCAGTAACAAAATCAGTTTTATAGAACGCCAAGAAATGTCATGTAAACTTATTACAACGCACCTTTAGATAGGACAGATAAATGTTTGACCCAATAAAGTTAAGTCTTATGAAGTAGTCTATTTGAACAATTGGTATCCTAAAAAACCCGATATTGTTGTAGTGGTAACATTTTTATATATAACACAGTTGTTTGATCATATAAACTTAAGTCCAATAAAGCAGTCTATTAGGACATTTAAGCATATTTGACGTCTTATCGTTGGTTAACTACTAACCTTTCGCGATGATGAATCCACCGAGAACGAAAACCAACAACAACGTGAACGTGCCGAGAGTGTTGGCCACGACCTGTGTTCTTCCTAGTGCAGCGATGAAACGGAATAGACCTAAAGCCATCTGATGTATACCCAAGTACGCCAAGAGTTGTCGGAAAAAACTGAAACATTACGGTCATAAAAACATAAAAGGGTTCAAATTATCGACCGAAAAACCCGTTTTTTTTACTCTAGAAGTCAAACCGAATAATAATCAACTTCAAAATTCATATAAATCTTGCACACGCTCGTCGTAAAACTTTAGCTGTAAGCTATCACTACAACAAAATATGGTTTATAGGACACTTAAACGTTTAAGCGTCATATCTAAAAGTGTTGCAATAGGTTTATAGAATGCTTAAACGTTTTAACAAGTTTTTATGACGTTTTTAAAGTCAAATGTCGTATTAGCTATTTTATATGACACTTTTGAGAAATGTCCTATAAACCCATCTTTTTATAAGACGTTTTTTAAATGGTGTCCTATAAAATAGCTAACACAACACTTTATTTTAAAAACTTGTTAAAACGCTTAAAAACGTTCTATAAACCTATTATAACACTTTTAGATAAGACGTTTTATATTTTGATCCTATTGATCCTATAAATTTAAGTCCTATAGAATATGTTATTAAGACGTTTAAACATTTTAAGCGTCTTATAACCCAATTTTGTTGTGGTTTAAGGTCGAAACGAAAAAAAATCTGAGGTTAAATATGTCTAGAAACGTATGAAATCCGAATTCTAGAAGTTTTACGGTTGACCCGAAAAAAGTCAAAGTAGAAGGGTAGAAATGCGTACCTACTAGCGGACGGAGCAAACCCGATGGTGTAATAAGTGAGTAGAATCCAGATTCCGGATTCTAGAAGTGAAAGCGGAAGTCTCAGAAGCCAAATCGGAAGGGCGAAAGCCCAAGCCGGATAAAATAACGAGTCCCGTTGTTTATAGAACACGGGTAGCCGAAAAATTGTCAAAGCAAGCTCGGCCATCCCGTTAAACATAACGTTAATTAGACTGAAAAACAACGCGCCGTAATACTTTCCACCATCATCTAGATCACCGTACTTCATCGTCGTTCTAAAGAAAACGGTCAATGTGAATAACGCCATGATCGTGATTTGGGTCGTCTTGAAAATGTAGACGAACGCATTTCTCTTCATTAGAAGCCATTCTCTCGATAAACATGCCTTAAAGAGATCTTTATTCGAGATACCGTACTTATGGGTCACTAGAGCGGCCGGATGGGCGCTAGATTTGTCGTAAGGAACATGAAGCACGGCCGTAATCTTGAAACCGATGTGAAAGTTGCGGAAAAAATGAACGAAATCATCTACAGAAACATATCGGTAAGCGATACTTTTGTTGAACCAGTACTGTTCTTGATCTTTTCTCGAGGTGACTTCTTGTAGAAAGTCCGCAACTCCTTTTCTCTCGGGGCATTTGAACCCAACGTGCTCGAAGAACTCGAGAACGTTGTTTCTCGGGCCTTGGTAGACGACTTGACCTTCGGCAAGCAGGATTATGTCGTCAAAGAGTTCGAACGTTTCCGGTGCCGGTTGAAGGAGGGAAATTATCATGGTTATGTCCATGATGTGAACCATTTGTCTCATGTACTTTATGATTTGGAAGGTTGTGGAACTATCTAGACCGGTCGAGATCTCGTCCATCAGAAAAACCTTCGCGGGTCCGACCAGCATTTCTCCGGTGGTCACACGTTTTTTCTGGCCACCGGAGATACCCCTCCGCATCTCGTCTCCCACCATTGTGTCCGAGCAAATATCCAACCCGAGCAGCTACGGTACCGTAACACTCGTGGTTAGCATTCAAATTTATCTGATTGCGGAGTTGTAAAGTATTACAACTACGCAGAAATAGAAATATAGGGTTGTAGCTTGTATTCTACAACCCTATAATGCATCTTGGTTTTAAATTACAATTATGATATTTTGACGTATCTGGGGTCCTATGAAAACCGCTTTTTTGGGTAATAAATGCGATTAGGATGTAAAATTAACCTTGCGGTTTATTGTTTATTTGACGGAAAAGGGGAAAACGTACCCGAAGGACATACTCGGTGACCAAACTAGATTCTTGTCCAGAAACCGATATCGCTTTCATGAATGCATCAAGTTCGGCATCCGGTTTGATTCCTTCGGCTTTTTCTCGTCTCGACAATTCCGCCAACATCTCGTACCGTGCCCCGACTCCTAAGCAACGTCCCGAGAAATCCATGGTCTCTCTAACGGTCATTTCTCCGTGGTGTAGATCGTGTTGACTAATATAAGCACAAGTTCTTTGAGGAACGAATTCATCCATTTCATGGCCGCAATACGACACTTTTCCCGTTACTCTCAGATCCGTTTCGAGCTTTCCTGCTAGTGCTTTCAACAATGTGGTCTTTCCCGAGCCCGGAGGTCCCAGGAGTAGAGTCATTCTGGAGAAACGCCGGTTTCGTTAACAATTAGAAACCAAAACTATCGAAAATGTGCTAGAATTGTAGAGATTTACGTGAATTTCTTACCTAGAGGGTGTCACAATTCCGGATACTTCATGAAGGATCTTAACGACCCTTTTCTTCGATGGAAACAGCCTGAAGAAACCAAGAACGTTCTGGAAACACGATAAAAACAGCGAATAAGATCGAGAAGTTTAAAAGGGCTATTTAGCTCATCGACCTTCTTCAGAAACTCGTCTTGCAAAATGACCCGCTAGTGTCTTGCTAAGTTTTTACGGAAACAAACAATTTTTGGACCACGGGCAAATTGTTTTAAACCCGAGCATGCCAGATGAAGTTCATCGAGCTTATACATACATATATAGTGTTGGGTTCCGGTGAGAATGGAAATTATGGTGAGATACGTAAGAAGAGATCTCCACCATTGGATCAATCCTAATTGAATGACAACACTATTGAGGTGCACCGAGATGCATCGAATCAATTCCCTTATATATCGTGTGAAAAAGGAAGTTATGGCGAGAAGCATAAGAAAAGATATGAACTTTGATTACTTTTAATCTCATGTCCACCCATGAATTATGCTTTAGAAGAGAATTCATCTGGTACACCTCACTCGTGTTGACATTCAATTAGAATTGATCCAAGGTGGAAGCCTCTTCTTACGCTTCTTATCATAACTCCCTAGTAATCGAACTGCACATTTCAAGAACATCAGAAACTTGCCTCCATCGAATTGATAGTAGAATTGAGCAAGGTTGGAAGGGCTCTACTCCCAACAAATGCATCCCCTTCGATCGACAAATTCTCGTATCTGATCTCGATCTTCGGAATATCGATTCCGACCCTGGTCACAACAAAAGAACACGAATCAAATGAAGAAACTAATGTAATTTTTTGTCAATTTCGAGTGTTAAAGAAGCCTGTTTATGCCCTCCTGACAACTGTTTTCTAAATCCATGACATTTTGACAAGTTTCTATGTATTCTTTTGTTAAACAATAACATTCTCAAAACTGTCAGAAAAAGTCATAAATTTTTAAGAAAAAAAACTTAAAAGAAACTAGTATTTACCTATCGATACGATCTCTAAGCCGTTCTAGAAGCCGTTCGTTATCATTATCGATCGTTTGTTGTATATTCTTCATTAGATTCTGTCTCTCCTCCGGTCCAAGATTCGTGACATCAATTTGTTCACGAACGACCTTCCCATCTTCCAAAACTTGAGTCAAGAATCCCATTCTTAACCGATCGTAAGTCGGGAGCCGCTCGATGGCGGCCCACATGAGTTCGTCCTCATCGTCTTCTCTCCCGCTTTTCTGGAAAACATCATCGCCAGGTGTCATGAATGCTTCTCGAATACTAGCCGTACCCCACCCCTTCTTGCTTCCGGAAGCCAAGCTACCTTTCCGGCTCATGTTCCGGCTCATACTCCGACTCATCGTCCTCATCAAGTCATCACCGGTCAGTGCCGAAGCCATTTCTAGAACCCAGATAGGAAAGCTCTAGAAGTTTTATATGAACATGAAGAATCTTGATTAGATTTGTGGAGGAAATGTGAGGTTTCTAGTTTTCTAGATTTTAGTTGTTAATTTATAGGGAGTGTGAATGGTGATTTCTAGGAGAAATTGGTGTTTAGAAATTCTAGTTTTTGTCGTTTTCTGAAGGGTCTTGCTTTTAAACTAGTTGACCACATTTTCTTAGGTTCCAATTTTATAAAATAAAGGTAAATTGTAAGAAAAAATAACGTGTTTTAAATTGATTTTTATTTTGATTATTTTTAAAAAAATTATTTTGGTATTTAAGATGTAAAGTTTTAAAGATTTAAGTATTCGGGTTATCGGTTGAAAATTAATTTTAGGTTAAAAAAGAGATTAATTTAAGATTAAAAAAATCATGTCACTAATCATGTCAGCAAATAATATTGGGTTGGATATCACATCACTTGCCACATCAGCATGATAACCGGTTAATGCTTTATCTGGTTACACGGGTACTTAAATGTTTAAAACTTTACATCTTAGGTACCAAAAGTACTTAAATGTTTAAAACTTTACATCTTAGATACCAAAATGGAAGTTTTAAGAGTACGTTACCCAAAATAAGAATAAAGTTAAGGTATGTTATTTTTTCATGTAATTTGTCCTAAAATAAAGAGTAAAATATAAATTTGGTTCATGTGATTTGTCAAATATAACACTTTTTGTCCCTTTAGTTTCAAAATTACATAATAGCCATCGTAGTTTGAAAAAACATTTCAATTTGGTTCATTCTAACGGTTGGTTAAAATTTTCGTTAAGTTAAAAACACTTTAGTTCTTCTATTGACTTTTTTTGTCTTTTACCCAATCAAAAACCAAACGAACCAAATTTATAAAGACTATTTTGATTGGATAAAAAGTAAAAAGAAATGGAGAAAAGGACAAATACGTCCCTTATTTAACAAAATATGTTATTGGTCGTTAAAAGAGAGATCAAATTTGAACGTTTTTAATAACCACGATGACCATCTTATTATTTCTAAATTGTAAGGATGAAAAATGTTATTTTTTACAAACAATAAGGACCAAATTTGTAGTTTACTTTAAAAATAAATAAAAAATTAATTTTGGACCCATTTATTCAGTTTTTTGTCTTCAATATTATGTCACAAGATTCTACAAATTGGATGAAAGCTCTTAATTTTAAATGGCAAAACTCTAACAACGTTGGACCTAAAAAATTTGTACAAATCGAATGGTATCTGATTGGTTTGAGCTTGGCTTTAAAGGTTAAAAGTGTCTGAAAATCTCAGATTCAAATCCAAAAAGAAATAAAATTCCCTTATGGTCACAGAGATTCAAATGCATGACTCCGGGCTATCCATACTTTCCTCGCACATTCCACGGAGGCCCGATATGTCTATTGTATGAAATATGTTAGTTAAACGACTAAAGGTCACTTGTCCAACGGTACTTGGATGACCCTAGAACTCAGTCTTCCTAGAGGTCAATGGTTCAGCAACCGTCGAAATTAAGTACTTAAAAACCGACACTAAGGCCTTGTTTATTTTTCATAAAAAAAAAACTCTTATCAATATCCTATGTTTGATGTTAATATGCAAGACAATTCAGACTGTTTATTTTTTCCAATTTTCTAGAGACATTTATGTCTTATTTTCATCTTATTTGATAAAAGGTAAACCAACATCTTATTTGTCTCTTATTGTTCTCCAAATCTCCAACAACGGTGTTTTTAATCGATTGACCTTAATTGATCATTTCTCTCAATCGATCCTTACCAAATCAATCATTATCTCTCTCAATTAATGTATTTTAATAGGATGTAAATGTGTTAAACACCGTTAATGACATATTTTCGACTAAATGAATGTTAATTATATAATTTAGATGTAAATTTCATAATGATGGTGAATAAATATGTGAAATTGTATAAATTTATCTATAAATCCAACACGATAATTTTTAATGGGTAAAATTAATAATTTAAACAAATTCAGACATTTATCAGTTTTAAAAACAAACAGTCTTATTAATTCAAATTTCAAAATTCAACACCACCTCTTATAAATCAAAAATGAAATAATACTTCAGTACTTAAAAAAAACAAAGGCCACCTAAATGCATGTTTATTACTAGCTTAGGGGCTGTTTACCAAATTTTCTATTAAGTCCTGCATGGATAAATTTGCCTGTCTAGATAAATTTGTCTGTCTGGATAAATTTATGTTGATGTTTACTTTTCTATCTGAATCATCAGTCTGAATAACAGAAATGACCAATTTACCCATGAGAATAAAACACAATAAACAACTTTCATGGCTCGGCTAGGGTTTCTTTGATTCTTTCTAGCAACAAAGACAAGCAAAGAAAAATCGAACAAACATGAAATCGATAAAAAGGTAGCAGCAAACACAAGCAAACAGAAATCGAACAATCATGAAATCGATATGGAAATTTAGAGCAATCGGCTGTCGATGGAGAAGAAGACAGCATCGACTGTCGATGGAGAAGAAGACATCGTCGACTGTCGATGGAGAAGAAGAATAGAGCGTCGTCCGATTAGGGTTCTTTGGATGGAGAAGAAGACAGCGTCGACTGTCGATTGTCGATGAAGAATAGAGCGTCGTCCGATTAGGGTTCTTTGGATGGAGAAGAGAGCGTCGATCGATGAAAAAAGAGCGTCATCCGATTAGGGTTCTTTGGATGGAGAAGAGACAGCGTCGATGGAAGTTTTTGATCTGGGCGAAGGGTAGGGCGAATAAGGGTAGGGAGAGTCTTTTTCATGGCTTAATCTGGACAACTAATGTTTTTGATCTGGGCGAATAAGCCCATTTCTGAGCGAATAAGCCCGAGGTAAACATGCTATTTTGTCTGTCCGAATAAGCCAATTTATCCAGTAAGCTCATTAAGCCTCAAGTAAACACACCCTTAATGAGCTTAATTGGACTCAAAGCTTATCCAGTCTACTATACATAGTTGTTTAATAGTGACTTGATGATACAGAAAGTAGCTTATTCAGTAAGTTTCTAGAGAGAACCTTCATGCAAAAACCCGAGTTTATTTCAAATCCCAATCCTGAACAAAAACTTTCTCAATTATACAGACCGATGAATCTACACAAACAACTTAAGAACTTAACGGAAACCAACTAAACAGCCCGTAAATGACAGATCGCTTGAAAAACCGACACTAAAAAACAAAAACACGCATCGATCGAAACAACATATATCCCTCTATTTATTCATGTTTGTATATATTTTCATCCAAGCAGCAGCTGATTTCAAGTGTTTGTTAAGCCAAATGGGATGAAAACAAGATCAACAAACAGATGGTTTCTAAACCCATATCTCTTTTTCTTTCTTCAGTAAAACTAAACCAAATCTCCAATTGTACAACATTTGGTTGTAAAGGTACTACTAATGATGCAGAATGTACAAGCAATCAAGATCTGTACAACAGTTACAGCACCAGCTTTTCCGGTCACCATCCCGTCCCGTCCCGTCCCAAAAGCGTACAAAAAACCCGATGCAAAACGAGACCCATCTTCTGGTTCGCAAAAATCAAAGCATCGAGCCTGAGCTCTATTCACCGGAAAAAACTTCGTTGGTAACCGATCCAGATGTTGCTCGAGCCTCCTCGGCGATCCCGAGCGCCATTGTCGCCTTGTAAGTTAGTAAGTCGGCATTTTCCATCAACAGTTGAGCTCTTTGCCGTTTGACGATGGCCGCCTGTTCTGCCCTCTTCGCAGCTCTTTCGGTTTCTTCAACTTTGTTGGTCGCGTTCTGCGCATCATCTGCTGCGGATTTCTCGTTTAACGCCGCTGTAAATACATTCAGACCCGTGTCCAATTTAGCAATTTCACATACAATTTGGTAACACTCCTGAAAAACCATCTTACGAGACCAAGTTACACAAAATAAGCGGGTGAGTGCACGGGCACCACCCCGGGCCTAAACCTAAATCCACCCCAGCACCACCGCAGGGGCGGGGGTTAAAACGTAGCACAGATGTTTTCATGAAGACCCTGAAATAGAGAAAAGTCTAAAATGCCCCGAGCTACAAAACAGGGGAAAAGTTTTGAAGTAACTCTAAGATATCGCATGAAACTCGATCTTTCTCGTCAACCAAAATCAGTATAACAAATATTCCGTACAACTGACCACAAGGGCAAACAGGTAAATCTAGATAAACATCGTGTAAAACAGAAAACGTTCCAAAACGGAAATCGTTTTATGGAAGAAACAAGTGCAGACTTCTTTACCACTATAAATACCGAAACCAGTTCAAACACAGACCATGGTGCATAAAGATCCGTCACCGGCCACCGCCCCCATCTAGGCGGTGTTGTGACCTAAAAACAGTGACAAAAACATCTAGAATTTCATTGAGAAGCTAGAATTTTGTCGACCCGATATCTATTATTGGCCTCTAACATGATGAGAAAGATCGATCATATGAGAAAAACAAGCTACAAATCGTGATAGAACGAGCAGAATATACACACCTTTCAAGAAATTTAGCTGTTTTCCTCTTCCTAATTGGTTCCCTCGTTGTCTAAACGATCTCTTCTTGCGTAGAACCGCTTTGATATTAAGTTGTTCCGTTTTTTTCGGTTTGTAAAACTGCCACAAAATATCAATCATTCATGTTTGTTAGAAAAGCACACTTCAGTTAAAACCGTTAACTATTTAAGAACCAACGAACCAGACATTCATAATGAATATTGATATATTCATCATGCATATCAAAACGGAAGGTATTAACATCGGGTATAGCATTTGTTCTTTTCACCTGAAACACGCAAACGAGAGCCGAATGCTTCTTCTTCCGTTTAGACATCCAATAACCATGAACAGCTTCTAAAACGTCCTTCGATGCCAGCGTCAAACACCGGTCAACGGCTGAGATCGCATCAGAATAATCCACCGGACTGGCATAAATCCCTCTTTCGTAAGCATCGATTATTTTCTCAAAAGTATCTTCATCAACACGCGAACCATGCTCTTTGTTAAACTCGTTTAACCACCGCTCGTCATCAGAATCCATATCGTAGACCGGATTACTCGTTTCCAATACCCTCGAAACCTCATCGCCTCTCGAACGGATATATGAATCCGGCATCTTAAACGGAGAATATTCCACATCCGCATACCCCGATACCTCATTCACTCGAGGCACCGGTATTATACTCGCTAATGAGGCCGGCAATCGGACACTCCTTTCAGAACATTTCCGATAAAGTTCTTTGAAAACGAACCAATCTTGTCGATCGGGGAACTCGAGCTTCCAACTTTCATCACCAGTGGCCCAAATTATAGCGTGAGTGATCCGATTGCAAAAGCACGGTCTCATTACGTTTTGAGCTTCGATCCTACACCTTTCCAAGCCATCTATTTTAACGACAAGAAACCATTGTTTAGAATCAGACATTTCCATGGTGATAACAGCTCCTCCATCTCGATAACATCTGTCTGATTCTATCATCAATATATTCGCATTGCAACTTGCGGAATCTATGTCCTGTGTTAGTTCTACAAGCGTAGATTTGAGTTCCTTAAAGTTAGCTCTTCGAATTGACCTTGAAATATCCGGGTTTGATTTTATCGGAAAGAAAGGAACCCCATCTTGAGCCAGACCTCCGCCAGCCGCTTTCAGATGAGCAAAACTCGACGGATTTCTTTGGATTCTTGATCGTAAAGAACTCCGCCTCTTCTGGATACCACGGTGCATGGAAACACCATTTCTTAGCGGCAAATTGATCGCGGTTGTCAGCTTCTTTCTTCTAGATTTAGATTTTGCAGCTAAAGTCGGCTCGACCGGAGATTGGGTTTGTTCGGTGACGGCATTTGGTGGCGATACTTCAGAAACGGATGGAAATGACAATTCTTCAGTGATCGTCTTCTTGTTCCTCGATTGTTTCCGAAAGAACTTCTTCCCGTACTTCTTATCTGAACTCGAAACCTTCTCAAGACTACCGGAATCCACGGATACACTCCTCTTCCTTTTCCTCGAATAAACCACACCCCACCGCCGATTTTCGTTTTCGTGATCACCGGAATCACAAAAAACGTCAACAGAATCAACTTCCAAGGATTCCCCCAATTTAATTTCGGTTTCCGGTTCACCGTCATCAATGTCCGAAACCTCATCATTTCCATTCTTGTTTTCTTCATTTGAATTACGCCACCCGTTTTCTTTAAACTCAAGATCTCTACCGCCACCACCACCGCCACCACCGTGGTGATCAAGCAATTCAATCCAATCATCACCGGCATCTGCAACGGCAAGAGGTGGTCTTCTCAAATGTTTCAGCTCCTCTTGTGTGGTAAACAATCGTCGCCCTGATCTTAAAACCCTAGCCCCGAAAACCCTAGTAGTCCTCCTCATCTCCACCGACGGCATGGGCACCGTCCGTACCCTTTTCCGATGAATTCTCAAACCCCCGCAACAATTTCTCCGGCCGGTTCCCCAAAATTCTAAACCGATTAAGTCAATCGGTAATAACCCCACCAAAATCTTCCAAATAAACTAGAAATTATACATACATATACGCTTATACGATCATAAAATCGAAAATCAAAGTGGGTAAACAAGAGTTTATACACAAATTAGATCTAAAAACAGATTCATCGATTAGAAAAGTTCAAGTCTTGGCGATACGTTTCATACGCACGTACCTGTTGACGGCTGACGGAGTTTAAAGAGGGATTAAAAGAGTGGTGGCGGTGGTGGTGGTGGTGGAATCGGGCGATGAAAGGGGCGGATGATGGAGGGCGGGAGGAAGAAAGGGATGAATGTGGCGGCCGTTAATGGCAGAGAGGGGTAAGTGAAGAGGCTGAAGCGGTGCTGGCCGTTGGATCTGGAACCCTAGGGTAACTGTTTCTAAATTCAGATTATATTATCAAAAATAAATAAATTGGGGGAGTAAAAAAGGGGAAATCAATTTGATTTTTTCTGTTTTAATCCTTACAGTTTTATCTGATTTTTAGTTTTGATACCTCATCTTTGATGTATTTATACTTACAGTCCCTGTATTTGTTGTTATTTGAAAAAAAAAATGTCTTATAAAAATAATTGGTCTGTAAAAATACGTGTTCATATAATACTTCTTAAAAGTGTTATATAAAAAAGTTGATATTATATTTTATTATAAAACTGTTGTAGAAAAACCTGTTACAATTTTCAAGTATGTTATAATATCTTGTTGTAACACCTTTACATATGATGCATAGTTGTTTAGGAGGCAAACTCTGAATCGTTAAGAGGTGAATCTTGTTTAGCAAAAAAAAAAATATATTGCCTCTTAATGGTTCTTAAATTATCTGAATGATTTTGTATCTTAAACCTCTCTTAACCGTTAAGCGCCATACTTTCATTGTAAACAATTATATTTCATTTTGCACTATATCATGAAAGCCTCTTGATTATTCTGACCACTTAGGGGTTGTTTATTTACCTCTTGATGGTTTCATTAACAGGCAACATCTAAATCATTAAGAGGCGAATCTTGTTTAGCAAAAAAAAAATATGTATTTTAATGGTTCTAAAACTCTCTGAGTGATTTTGTATCATGGGTCTCACTTAACCATTCAGCGCCCTAATTTTATTGTAAACAATTATCAAACAATTATAATTCATTTTTCACTATATCATGAGAGTCTATTAATCATTCTGACCACTTAATTATTCTGCATCAAATCATTCACAAAACCGTCAAACAGACCCTTAATCATTCTGCATCAAACCATTCAACAGTCTCTTAGTCTTGTCAATTACTTTATTTGTCCAAAGATAAGCATATATGGTAAAAATGACACGGTTTTATAAATGTGTTATTATTATTACGTTTTTTATTTAACTGGATCTCAAAATTAGCTTTAATTAATGTATCTATCATACTAACTCTTAAATATTTTTATGCATTAATTAAGAATATATATATGTATTTGGAAATTTAGCTATTTATTTTCTAAAGTGAACGCTTAGTTTGGTACAAACATAAATAGAAATGTGGACACTTATTTTAAAACATGATGAAGTAGTTTATAAATAAATTCAGATATATTTAGTTTCCTATAAAATAGATTTGTAGTAGTGATGATGTATTTATTATAAAGTATATTCATGTGCTTAGTAGTTTCATTTATTTGAGTATACCACCAAAGACATTGATATAAGAAATATGAACTTTTTTTATTTATATTGCCGAATCAAAGTGTGTTATTGTCATATTAATTATGGTCAACGCATAAGATCATTAAAACAATGTCACACACACATATATATATATAGAGAGAGAGAGAGTACGTTTCAAATGCAACTCATCATATTTGTACAACCAATGTAATTCAATCAATTAAGATATTTATGGAAATTATGAGAGTTCATTTAGTATGATTTAAATATTTATGAAAGATGACCAGGTTTCATTAATTATGATCAATACTTTATATTAAGAAACAATCTAAATTTTATGAAATCACATGTTCATCAAATTAAATAGACGGTTGAGATTGAGTTGTATCTGTTGTACAAATGTAAAGGGTTGCATAATAATCCACATCTTTCTCTCTCTCTCTCTCTCTCTCTCTATATATATATATATATATGTGTGGGTTCATTTAATGGAGAACTAATTAGTTTGTGATAACTGTGAGATCCAATCACAGTCACAAATCAATGGATAAATCATGAGACTAATATTTTTGGTAATTTGACTTAATTATAGTTAAAGGACATTTTAGGTATTTTAAATTTTTTACCTCTCGTCTCTCTCTCTCCTCTCTCCTACCTCCGGCCTCCGACGAACACCATATGATAACCAAATACACCAATATACTCAATGTGATACCCAAAACACATCAAGTAAAATTTTGAGATCATTGTGATACCAGATGTGGTACCAATGTGATACCAATTGTGGTACCACTATCGCAGGTGAGTGTTTAATGGTCGATCATCGGATACGACGTCTTGGCCAAACAAGATGACTGGAGGAGGTCACCGGAGTGGTAGTGGGTGCCGGAGAAGGCCACTAGATTTGTTCCTTATGTATCCGTGTGCGTGTATATACACATATATTAAAATATTAAACTAATTAAAGAAAATTGAAATATTAAACTAATTAAAGTAAATTGAATAATCAACACAATTTACTAATTTACCTTTTGTTTTATTTTAGTAAATAACATTAATTATCTAAAATGATTGGCTCATATTGGACCTCACATTTACCACAAACTATTTAGTTCTCATTTGATTAAGCCCCTATATATATAAATGTTTTCATAAGACATTTCTCAAAAATGTTCATGTAAATAAAAAAAACAATACGACGCTTTGTTTTGAAAGTGTGATAAAAACTTGTTAAGACATTCAAAAACGTCTTTAGGTTTATATTGCAATACTTTTATAAATAACGCACAGTTATTTGACTCTATAAACTTAAATCTTATAAAGTAGTTTATTATGACACTTATAGTTGTTTGGTTGGTTTTCAATTAAGTTATGTATGAAATAAATTATTTGTACGGGTTAATTTGTGTGTATAAATCGACGAGTTTTTGTTTGGAATGTTTTTTCATAGATGAAATGAGCATGTTTTTTTTAATTGGGAGGGGCAAGTTTGAAAAAAATTGGCTTTCAGTATAAAGTTTTTTGAAGACTGATTCAAAGGTGACTTAGTCATTTGATAGAAGATTATGGGGTAGTTGGCATGTGCTTCTTAGTGGAGTTAGGGGTTGTTCGGTTTTTTTTTTTTTTTGTTAAGACATGTATGGATATAATTGTCTGTATATTTACAGATAAGTTGTTGTTCGGTTGTTGTGCTGAATAAACAGTATGAATGTTATAAATAACAATTTTAACCCCAGACTTTTTTTTTGTCTGAGTAAAACACAGTTTGATAAAAATGTTGAACAAATGACTTTTTCATACATATAAGTTAAAACAGTATAACAAACATAAACAACGCAAGACAAATATTAAATCATCCTCAAAAACCAATGTTTTTCGCTTTTTTTACCTTTTTACTGTTTGATTTTGTTTTTTTACCGTACTAGAAGAGATAAAGATATTAATGGTTGTTTTGGAAAAGAAACAAAATAAAGGGTGTCTTAAAGTTTGTTTTAAAACTATTGAGGGGTGAAAGTAAAACCAAACATAAGTTTAGGGGGTTTAAGTGTAAATGTTTGTGAACTCTATCACACTCTCACTATATAAATTCAGCCCCGAAGCGTACACAACAAGAAAGAAAGAAAGAAAAAGAAAGAGAAAAACAAGGGTAAAAAGGTAATTTCTCGCTCATTAAAGCTATCACAAGTTTCTTTACCAGAATGCCACCTAACCCCAATTTTAGGTTTTCTATTCCAACTTTCTATGTTGGTCCGCTACAGGAAATCATATCTCACATCACTTGGTTGACTTTATGTCCTAAAAATGTGTATTTTGGTTAATGGGATTGTTTATTAAATGTTTATCTGATAAATGTTTATTGGTGTTATTTGAGTGTTGTAGTGTCTGGTATTTGAACATTGGCTCGTAGCCGTAGAATACGACCCGAATCGTAACCTGGAGAAGAAGCAATGACGGTATCTGGGGAATAAGTATCGGCTAATTCTATGCCAGCGGTAATACAGAAAATGAGATTCAATCCTTTATTGCAAATTTCTAAGCCGTTCTTTCACTCATATAACTATCTAGTTTCCTTCATCAACCCCCGAGTAATAAAGAATATATATATATATATATATAGAGAGAGAGAGAGAGAGAGAGAGAGAGAAAGTTTGTTTCAAATACAACTCGTTGCATTTGTACAACCAATGCAACCCAATAAATTGAGATATTTATGGAAATAATGAGAGTTCATTTATTATGATTTGAATATTTATGAAAGATGAATATGGTTCATTAATTATGATCAATACTTTATATTAAGAAACAATCAAAACTTCCATGAAATCACATTAATCAAATGAAATGGACGATTGAGATTGAGTTGTATTGATTGCACAAATGTAAAAGATTGTATAATTATTAATAACCAACCTCTCTCTCTCTCTCTCTCTATATATATATATATATATATATATATATATATATTCAACTAATGACACTTCCTTTCTAGAAAGAAAAGAAGTTGGGGGAAATTTACGTCAATATTCTACCATAGAGGGATTCAAGAATAATTATCATCATAATTTATCTTATTGGGTAGCAGAGTCGTTCACCGGAGGGACAACCCATCCTATCTAGCCCATTAACCAGGCTTAGGTTATCTATTCTTAGGTATGGACTGATTTTTTAAATTAATGGCCGGACATGGATGATGGAACATTTTTTGAGTAGGTTGGCCCACTCGTTAATATTTTATAATAGTACATGTATAAGTTGTGTCATAATCCTTGCGCAAATTTGCATAAAGCTATTTTTCCCTTTTTTTAATATGGAAATAAGTTTTATATAGATGCAAAAGACATTTACGGAAATTCTAACTAAAACAAGAATTTCGTCAAAAAATGGCTAAAAAATGAATTTGATTCGAAAGATCGACTATTTTGATCGATTTTCCCAAAGACTAGGTTAGGTTGATTCTCCTTACTGGAATTTTTCTGACTGATATATTTAGGGTCTTATGAGATTAGTCGAGATGTACACAAGTTTATCGTGCATCCATGATTATCAAGAAAAACGTAGATGGATAGTTTGCAACTCTGCATCCACAACCATACGCTATCCCACACAAATATAGGGTTTAGAATAAGATGTACATAAATCTTTCATTTGATCCAGAATATAAAGTAAATGATTGTTTATTTACCTCTTAA